TTCAATCTCAGTGAAAAATTTTATTATGAAATTTCAACATAAGGTGAAAAATGAAATTTACCCATCCCTAGACAAGACAGAAACATTCATGTTTTACGACAAAGTTGTGACAAATCCAATACGTTTCTGCGACATTTTTGTCTCATTTTTGTTTTGTTTCAAAATTCGGAGACTTTTTCAATGTCCCGTCTCGAGTCGGTAAAGATCAAAGTGTCTACGTTTTGTTCGCATATTTTACGACAAGTTGTTGGCGCAGTGTGGATGACGTGTGCTGCCAACAGTAGGAGACCAGTGAAATCACACATGGTTAATAAAACTCATTCGCAACAACTAAACTTTTTGACTTTGTTGTACTTTTTGTCCTTGCGGTGTGGACGAATTTTGTCGCAAGTTTGTCTTGTTTTTGTCTCAAAATCGTATCCGGCATTAGAATGTCTTTTTTCTGTTTGCCAGTTCGTTGCACATTACTTTAGTTTTTATTAAATTCATTTTGTAGCATTCAGACTTTATTGCTCTATGTATTTAGTATATTTACGTATTATTTGATAATCCATAATATTTACGAAATATAACGTTATATAAAAAAAACAGTGAAGTGTTTGTTTTAAAATAATGTTCGAACTGTATCTTATCGCCTTCATTTTTTTTCGAAAATTATTCTAATCTATTTATACGATAATTGAAAACTGCAATTGCATTTCGCAACTCTGCCGACGTGCACTTCACATTCGTGTTTGTTTATGCAATCTTATCAATTTTCAAAATGCAATAGTGCGATAATCGATAAATAGTTTAGAATTACGGTCTTCCACTTCTATTGATGTTCGTTTTATTGATTTGCTATTTTTTTCTATGTGTTTCGGAGGGATAAATCATTATTACATACTACATACTGTCATTAATGGCTGACCAGTACTTGACACGCATCAGAAGATGGTCACGTAAGGCGTTTTATTTCATGAGTTTATCTGTGACTGAAAAGCCCGATACGTGATGTTATCTGTCTACCGCACTCCGGACATAAAAAAATATCATTGCTTTGTTGCCTCTTTACTTTTTGGTTGTCGCTGTTAACTGAGTTTACAATTCTTCTCCATTGAGTTCTATTGTGAGCTGCTTTTCCCCACTCATTCTGCATGTTAATCCCCTGCGTGTTAATCCCAATCAAGTTTTCGTGGAGTGGAGAATGTCCTTGTATCTTTTGAGTTGTCCAACCAGCCTCCTCTTACCGTCTACAAGCTCACCATAAAGCAGAGATTTTGGTATGCGGTTTTCTTGCATTCTGCATACGTGACCAGCCTATCTTAAGCGGGATTTCGTAACCATGACTTCAATACTCTGGCAGTTAGCCTTTTCAAGGACCGATACGTTTGAGACATGATGGAACCATCGGATTCTTAAGAGTTGCCTAAGGTGTCTCTGTTGCAACTTGTTTAATGCGTTCATGTGTCGGCGGTACGGCATCCAGGTTTCGCTCCCATATAACATGGTGGGGATTATAATTGCTCGGTACACTGCAGGTTTCGTTTTTGTACTCAAGTCATGATTGTAGAAAACCCTGTCTTTTAATTTCCAGAATGCTCTTGAGGCGCTGCTAATCCTGTGCTGAATTTCAGAGTCGATATTAATGCTCTTAATAATGCGATAAACCATTATTAACAGCTTCAATAGTTTTAAGCG